GTGTCGTGTGCGGAATATCTTTCGCGGGCCGGAATGCATTTTGAATGAGGAGACCCGCGGGCCGACTCATCACTCACCAACTACTGCTGTGTACATGTCCCAGCCACCCTCCACCGTCTGCACGGTCTCTGCTTTGCTCTGCATCTCTGCTGACACTGGCTCGATATGGCTTGACTGCTAGAAACTACATCTGGGTCAGCTGGTTGCAGCAGCAGTGTAGATGAAGATTGTGTTCGTCTGAAGAAATCGATTGCTTCATTTTTCTATTCGTTCAATTGCCTTCAGCTCACAGCAACCACTGTACAACCTCCGTTTTGCTGGCCTCTGTATGTTGTCGCTCGCTGTGCGTGCGTCGCTGTACCCGCTGAGCGTGTGTTGTCTGCTGTGCATGTGCGCCTGTTGTGCGTGTGTTCTGCACACAGATGCAATATAATTGCTGCAATGCTGCAATCTGCTATCAACGTACTGTCTGCTGGCCCCCCGTTAAAATCAAGTGATGTACTGTGCTCTAAAACCTAGATTAGTCCGACAGATGTGCACTGTCTTGGTCTTGATGGGGCCCAATATTGCGGCGAGACCCTAGGCCAGATTAGAAATCTCGCTCCGCTCGAATAAGAGATATGTCCTACAACACACGATCCCGAAGTATCATTGGGCGCTGGTTCATACCGGACTTCGATCGCCACAGCCAGCCGTTCCATGACCGACCGCTGTGGCTTGTCGATAAACGGTGAAATCAGCCGAAGGATTCACTCTTAACCGGTAATCGGCGACAGGATTTTCCGAGTGAAGTGCTCGTTCATTCACATTTCATTCGCAAAGATATATATGTACCTTCTCTGGCACGCTGGCACACCTACTGTACACACAACGCACAACACACATCACACTCTGCCATCTCGCCTCCTCTGTCCTTCTCCTTCCCATGTCCTTGATATAGGGAAAGCGAGGAGGAGCTTCTCGGCCGAATGAACAGGTTGGAGCCAAGCGACGGTGGGGCGGAAGTTCCAGCTCTTCACAACCATCTTCTCGCCTGACTGAACCATGTCTAACACAAGCACGATAATGTAAGTTCTCTCCAGGTTTGAGTGGTTGATAGTTCTCTCTCGTGTTTGATTGTCGTGCCTTCTAAGCCCTAATGTACATTACTTCAGGGGCATTGTATGTTTTCAGTAAGCACATCGTCAACCCGCTTCCGCCGCAATAGTTAGAATAAGATACACCCGTAGTTGAAGTTGTTGAAAATAGGCGAAAAGCCGCCCTCTTCCTTGCTTGGCTTGCTCCTTGCGATAGGTGGACCGCCTGTGTGGGCCACCTCAGCACTGGGGGCATAGTATACATGCCTTCTGGGGCACGAAAATAGATCTATTGCGCGCCACCCACTCTGTATTCGAGGAAGATGTATGAACTGCCGAACGCGGACAAGGGAACCCCGATGACAGCAGTACGGACATGTAACGAGATTGTGCGGCACCGCCTTCTTCTGTTTGTGGTCATGATGACGTTTTTCACGTCGAGGAAGGAGCGACTCAAAATGCCTTCCTCCCGCACAAGCTTGCTCCACGACCGGATGGTATTCATTCCCGCTGAGATTGCCTATATATTCCTGCTCGGGGAACCTGCAACATGAGGCACAAACTGCTACGCGAGGCAGTCGCCTTCTTTCTCCCCAACAGTTTCACAAGAAGAGAAGCTACGCAGGGCAGTGAGTCTCGTACACACAGCAAGAAAAAAATCATTACAGAAAATGGAACACCCATTGGTTTGGCAACAAAGGCCACAGAGCAGCGAGCCAAAGCATTGTGAGAAGACGTGATTGAGTTATCCAGGCCATCCTCCTCGGCGTTTCCCGCGTCTAGGCCGCCCACATGAAGGATTTGTCCTCGTCATCACCGCTGGCGTCTGTGCTGGGTAGGAGTAGTACGCGTGTTTGCACCCTTGGATGCAGCTGTGTCAGGTCACTCAAGTATAGAAGCATTTTTTGCCGATGATGATAATGGTGATGATGCGAAATGACAAAAAGTCGTTCGTGCAGCCAGCGGAAAGTAATTCGCCGATCAATCGTCGCCTGCGTGTGCTTTGTGGTTTGTGGTGGAAGAACGGACGGACGGAGCCTGCACAAGTTCAATGGACGGGATAATGAATCCTCTGAATGGAAATACATGACGCGAAGGACTCTGGCCTTGTATCGGCCAGATATCAACAAACTTCTGGGCGATAGTTGGAGACCGCGTCCTTTATACGAACTACATGACGAGCAAGATGATGGAGATCAAGAAGATGGAGATCAAGACTGTGGAGACCAAGAACATGAAGATGGTGAAAATCGAGATGGACAGGCCGCAGCTTATGAAGACGCTTTATAAAAGTTGGGTTCAGCAGAGTCAGCCGCTTTGGAAGCTCGACAGAAGGCGGACATCGCACAGAAAGCGATTGATGATGCTAACGAAGAACATACGCACATCACAAGAGCCATGCAAGAATCGGCGGATACTACTGCGCAACCCGCAACTCAAGCCGAGACCATTGCTCAATTAATCGAGGATCAAGACGCCATCAGCTGGAGAACCTGTACGGCCGCCAGCATCTATACCTATACCAACTACATGTCAAGAAGCCATGAGGTCAATGGACGCTGATCAATGGAAAGCAGCTATGGACAAGGAAATGAGGAGCCTAAAAGATCATGATGTGGCGGATCTAGTCCCAATTCAGAGTCTACCCCCTGGAGCTAAGCCTATTGGATCAAGATGGTTGTACAAGATGAAAGCAACTGGAGTAATGAAGGCAAGACTCATTGTACAAGGCTGGGGACAACGACATGGCATCGACTGTGGAGGAACTTATGCACCTGTGAGTCGATTCAGTTCGCAACTAGTATTAATGGCGATTGCAGCGGAGAGAGGATACGTTGTGGAAACCATGGACGTGGTAACTGCATTTCTTCAAAGCAACGTGGAAGAAGAAGTGTACGTTCGTCAAGCCAAAGGATACGAAATAACGGATGAAGTTACGGGACTACCACT